TCTTGCAATAATAGAAATCCTAATACTAGTGTTACCTTGTTGATATGGTTTTTGGTAAACCAAGTTAGCGATACTTATCAGGCTTTTACGCTCATTAAGTGGGAGATGATATTCATTCAAAAGGAGAACATCTTCAAGGATCCCAAAGCAATCACATATTGGGAGAAAAAGGATCAAGAACCGACATCTTCATCAACTAACCGACATCTCATATCGGGTATGACATGTCGGGTACGACATGTCGGTTAGGACATATCGGTTATGGCTAATCAAACCGATAACTATGACTTGCCACACCGACACCATAAGGCGGCGCCAACTCAGCACAAGTCATCATTACACCTGACCAAGTGGCACGCTACCAAGATAAATGGCAATTAGCCGCCATTGACTATTCTAATGTAATGATTATATTGCTGATAAGTGTTGTAAATTAATATATAAGGGAAAAATAGACTCTCGAGGAGAGAGACATGAAAAAATATACAATAAGATTCAATAAACTTTCCTTTTCGATTATCAGGTTCTATATCTCTCTCTCTTGAATACCCAACGTGTTTTTCATTATATTATCATTGTTAATTACCACATAACAACAGTTTGGCGCTAGAGGAAGGGCCTCATAATGTTTTTGAGGTTAACTTTCGCTGTTATAGCCATCTCCTCGCTTAAAGTTACCATGTCGCAATCTGGACGAGATCATACGGCTCATCCTGGCTAGAGCCAATCGACTAATCATTCCCCAAGACGTTCAACACCACCTCCTCTAGTCACAAATATCACGAACTTCTTTCAAAACCCGGAGTTTATTCAAGGTTTAACCTCTCTTATAGCTCGGGCCATGCCCAGACACTCGAGTACTAAACCTGTATCTACGTCGCTTCCTACGAATCCAACAGAACACCCAAATCTTACTCATCATGACCCTGAAACACATGCGGCAACATCACATGCTATGTCACAACCACACCATACTTCTCCACATCGAGAGGAGTTAACTCGTATAACTGCTAATCCAGTAACGAACAACCAGGTCGCGGAGGAACCTCCTGTTCAAGAAATGACTGCTGAAAGTCATTCTGCTCATCGTCAAAGAATTCCGTCACGACCCAGACCTATCTCACCGGTACCTCGTGATCGTGAAGATTTACGGCGTCGGATTGAACGGAATCGCATGTCAAGACATATTGCTGAAGAAATCGAGGTTCTCCGTAAAAGATTGGCTGAAATTGAGACTCGACAGAAGTCACAAGAAGATTCTCCCCGACATGTCTCAACGTCGGGAAATGTTATTATTGAAGCTGACTCGCCTTTAGCTCCAGAACTTTCTGCGGAGGCACTCCCTGCCAAGGTAAAGATTCCACAAATTGGCATGTATGACGGAACTTCGGATCCAGATGCGCACTTAGGCCATTATACGTCATGGATAGATTTGCATGGAGCCTCGGATGCTTTGAGATGTCGGATGTTTTCCCTCACACTGGGGCCACGGGCACAAAAATGGTATTATACTCTTCCACCTCACTCAATTTGGAAGTGGTAGCAATTACGTGCAGCTTTCCGATCACACTTCATCGGAGCTCAAGTTTGCCTTATCCTAAAAGAATCGATCACTAATATCGTCCAAAAGGACGACGAAACCGTAAAGGATTACATATCTCGGTTTAATGACCGAATTCAAAACATGGAACCTTGTCACCCCGAGACCCTACTAGTGATTGCAATTGCTGGGTTAAAGCCCAATTCGATGTTTCAATGGACCTTATGTCAGAACAAGCCGGCTACCTTTCAAGAATTCCTCGTACAAGCTCAACAATTCATTATCGCCGAGGAGTCGATATCGGTTCCTAGTTTTGACTTCTGGGTAAAGGAGAATAAGGATGAATCAGATGCGAAAAAGAAGAATAAGAAGAATTTTGGGAAATTGCCATACCGAAATTACTCAAAAGGATATGAAAATACTCTGAAATCCAGAGCTGCCCGAGACCAATATGCCGACAACGTGAGGACAGGCTATCAAACCGTTTATTCGGCTGGAGCAGCTACAATTTTTGAAGAACTGAAAGGAAAGGGAATTATTCCTGATCCAAAACCAGTAAGAACTTCTGAAGACAAGCTGAACAAATCTCGATACTGTGCGTACCATAAATCTCTGGGACACAATACCGATGAATGCCTCGGCCTCTTATCGGCCCTTTTACGTTTGATTGGTCAGCCTCAACTTCAAAAGTTTAGAAATTTTGACAATCGCCGGAAAGGAAGGCCCGTGGATCTTTTTGACGAAAAAGATGATGATAATCGACCCGCCAACCCGAAGAGAGTCCGTGCCAACGATAAGGAAGTTTTTACGTTTTCTACCCTTGTCGGTACTTCGACCGACAACTGCAAAAAACCCAAAACACATGACGCGTTGAACCCCTCTTACTGTATACCCCGAGTCAATTCTAATACCAAGCAGACGTCTCGGTGAAAAGCTAAAGCTATGCTAGGGAAGCGCAAAATGCCGGGAAACAAGTTTTGAACGTTGATCTTCGAGATACTATTAACAAACGAAATTGTCCTATCACATTCAGTATCGAAGATGCCAATCTGTTCGCTCATCCTCATTCCGACGCCCTCATTATCACTACTCCAATTGGAGAAATCCCTGTACACCGAATTATGGTTGATACCGGAGCATATTCAAGTATTTTGATGTTTCACTCATTCAAGAAATTGGGTTTGGATCCTGCAGACATTAGGTCCTGTAATGATCAAATTCAAGGCTTCAATGGAAGTATTTGTTGTCCTATCGGTGAAATATTACTCCCCATACGATTTGGTGGCTTTGGACCAAAATCCAAGATCATTATGGAAACCTTTAAAGTCTTGGATGTTCAAAATGAGTACAATGCTGTTGTAGGGTGAACTGCTCTTTACAAACTTCGCGCTGCTGTGTCAATTTTTCACTATGCCTTGAAGTTCCCCACCATTGAAGGGGAAGGCACTCACTATGGGGATCAGCGGGAGGCGCGAAGTCTGACGTTGCTCTCAACTTCACGAAATCTTCATGTATGCGAGGTACGAGAGACTGATAGCTCTGTTGAGTTGAAAGATTCAATCCTTCCTGACCCCACAATGACAGATCAATCTGCTTCAAATACCGACATCTCCTCTGTCCTTGATACCGATGTCATTGAGACGTCGGATTTGCCTGAAATCTTGGATGGAGCCCTCGACCAAGGACAACCTCTTTCTGTGGAGGATATGAGAGCGCACGAAGATATAGATCCAAGGGTGTAATTCAAAGAAAAGTGTCATCACGTTTGGGTGGAACCAGTTGAAGATGTCGAAATTATTTACGTGGATGAACTAACTCAAGAAAAATCGTTGCGCATTGGGGCTAGTCTTCAAGAACCCACACGTTCGTACTTGATTCAGTTTCTTCGGTCAAATTCCGACGTGTTCGCTTAGAAGCATGAAGATATGAAGGGAATAGACCCGCAGAAAGCATGTCACCGACTAAATTTGGATAAGACCGTCAAGCCCGTTATTCAAAAACGCTGGAAATTTGGGCCAGATCGTCAGAAGGCTCTTGAAGAAGAAGTGAGCAAGCTTATAGACAACAAGTTCGTTAAAGAAGCAAAATATCCGACGTGGATATCGAATCCTGTTTTGGTTAAGAAAGCTACTAGTCTTTGGCGCTTATGCATTGATTTCTCGGATTTGAACCAAGCTTGCCCGAAAGATAGCTATCCAATTCCACATATCGATTACATGGTAGATGCTACATCAGGACAACAGCTCATGAGTTTTTTGGACGCCTATTCCGGTTACAATCAAATCCCCATGCACCCCGACGATGCCGAACATACTTCGTTTTATTCGGCCCGAGGTCTTTATTGTTATGTCATGATGACTTTTGGATTGAAGAATGCTGGAGCCACGTATCAAAGGTTGGTCAATAAGATGTTCGCTCGTTTGATCGGTCGCACAATGGAAGTATACATAGATGACATGTTAGTGAAATCAGAACAGGCCTCCCATCATATTGCTCATCTTTCCGAAGCCTTTGACATCCTTCGAGAATATTCAATGGTGCTTAATCCCAAGAAGTGCACCTTCGTGGTTGGATCAAGAAAATTTCTAGGATACATGGTGAGCCAGAGAGGAATCGAAGCTAATCCTGACAAGATTCAAGCCATACTTGATTTGTCTCCTCCGACATCCATCAAAGGAGTTCAAGCTTTAACAGGTCGACTAGCAGCTTTAAATCGATTCATTTCAAAGTCGACGGATCAATGTAAACCTTTCTTTGACGCCATCAGAAAGAAGAAGCCGTTTGAATGGACCACTGAATGTCAGAGTGCTTTTGATAACATCAAAGAAGTTCTTTCACAACTACCGACGTTGCAAAAACCTCTCCCCGATGAACTTTTATATTTGTATCTGGGAGTAAGTGATGTTGCTGTTAGCGCTGTTCTTATACGACAAGATGGACTCCAGCAGTTCCCAATATATTATGTTAGCAAGGCTTTACATGACGCTGAATTGCGATATCCATATATGGAGCAACTAGCTTTTGCATTGATCATTGCTGCACGAAAATTGCGACCATATTTTTTGGAACCTTCTGTTGTTGTGTTTACATCATATCCTCTCCGACAAGTCCTCCATCGACCTGACACGTCGGGAAGGATGATCAAATGGGCTATATAACTTGGACAGTTTGACATTCAGTATCGCCCACGGACTGCATTCAAAGCCCAGGTGTTATCCGACTTCATAGCAGAGCTCACCCCATCTGTTAGCACATCAATTCAGGATCCGACGTGGGCTCTCTACATCGATGGATCATCCACCGCTATACGAGCTGGAGGAGGAATCGTTTTAGTTAGTCCTGATCAACAAGTGTTTTGTTACTCTGTCGCATTCACTTTCCCGGCTACCAACAATGAAGCTGAATATGAAGCCCTCTTATCAGGTCTACATTTTGCTGAGTCCATGGATGTTTTTTCCCTCCACATATTTTCTGACTCTCAGTTATTAGTCAGTCACATCAATGGCGCTTATGAAGTCAAGGAACCACGATTGCTGCCTTATTTCGATCTCGTCGAGAAGAAGTTATCGCGATTCAAAATGACGTTGGAACATATACCTCTATCGTCAAACATTCAAGCAGATGCTCTCTCGCGTTTGGCCTCTTCGACCGATTTGAACAATGTTGAATTTGTGCAAATTAGTCAACAGACAACTTCTTCAACAGTCTCTACCGACGTCGCCATGATCGATGTTGTTTCGCCAATTCCAAGTTCAACTTGGATGGATCCAATCATTAACTACCTTCAAACCGGGGTTGTGCCTGAAGACCCAAAAGAAGCTCGCACCCTTCGTGTTCGTGCCGCTCATTTCACAATCGATCAAGGAATGTTATACAAGCGTGGATATTCCACTCCGTTGCTCAAGTGTTTGTCGGAAACTGACGCCCGACGTATTCTTCAAGAAGTACATGAGGGCGTCTGCAGTACCCATCAAGGAGCACAAGCTTTATCTCACAAGATTCTCCGACAAGGTTACTACTGGCCGACTGTCAAGAAAGATGCCGTCGACTGGGTGCGAAGATGTCACAAGTGTCAGATATTTGCTCCCAATGTTAACCAACATCCTGAATCCCTCAAGTCGATATATAGCCCATGGCCGTTCGCAAAATGAGAGATTGATTTAATTGGTCCGCTTCCGACAGCCAAGGGAGGTGTTCGCTTTGCGATATTGGCTGCCGACTACTTCACCAAATGGGTAGAGGCTGAACCTCTTGCAACCATCACCGAACAAAAAATGATTGATTTTGTCTGGAAGTCCATCATTTGTCGGTTTGGAATACCGAACTCTATTATAACCGACAACGGTCGTCAGTTCGAAGGGAAAAAAATTGAAGACTTTGGTGAAGACTATAGTATCAAGCATTTCTTCTCGTCACCTTATCATCCGCAAGCTAATGGGCAAATAGAAGCTGTAAAAAGATCATCAAGAATGGCTTGAAAACTCGACTAGAGACTGCAAAAGGATCTTGGCCCGATGGGCTGCCCCATGTCCTTTGGGCCTATCGGACGACAACGCGAAATTCAACTGGAGAAACCCCTTTCACATTAACATACGGAACTGAAGCTGTGATACCGGTTGAACTCACTTCTCCAACACATCGGATTACCCACATTTCCGAAGAAGCCAACTCAGGGAACTTGAGAACCAATCTCGACTTGATCGATGAACTACGGACTGACGTTGAAATTCGGAATGCCGCTTACAAACGACGTAGCGAAAAGTACATTAATTCGAATTTCAAGCCACGCTCGTTCGTCGTAGTAGACCTCGTGTTGAAAAGAATTACCGGGGCCAATGTCGGTCCGTTGCAACCAAAGTGGGAAGGACCCTTCAAAGTGAACCGTCTAATTTCTAATGATACTTACCGACTTGAAACTCTAGATGGTTTTCCCCTTCAGTACCCTTGGCACGCAACTTATCTGAAGAAGTACTATCAGTAAACCTGAAGGCTGAACCCTTGTCTCCGATGTATGAAAATCTTTTGCCCTGCCTATGTACAAAAATCACATTTTGTTGTTAATAAACTTTGTGTGACGAACCACTATAATTTGTTCGATCACTCGGACCTCAATAAATTGGTCCTTGTTGCTAAGGCTAAACGTGTTTCATACCCTGAAGTTGGTATGACCTAGCCAAACGCGACAAAGCCGGATACTTCCAAGCCTTGAAGATGGTTTGGGGAGCCTTATGCTCTACAATTTCAAATCCCGACGTTGATTTGATGAGCTTACAATGAATATTTCTGAGTTCTTTGAAACATTCAAAGGATTTTACAATAAATGTTTGCAATAAAAGCAAGTTTGTTATGACTTGTTCTGATAAGAAGTTTATAGATGTCGGATACACTGTAAATTATACCGATATCAAGAATTCAAACGAACTCATAAGACAGTAAAGCGTAAATGCCCAATATCACATCGGAAGGCATGATTGGCCAAACATTTATTCATCTTCTCCGATGTGATTTGACTTGTTACAATAATATGTCATGGAAATACATTCATAAGAATGACAAAATCATTAAACATTGAGTTTCATTCATAATAAAATATTGTCATTACATCTGACAAAAGAAAATAAAAAAAAATAACTGATATCAAATTTCATTCATCTTTCTTCGTCCCCGACGACGACGCCTCTCCGGTTGTTGAAGATTGAGGGTTTCCAGCTTCACCCTTGTCTGCAGCGTCCAAATGATCTATCAATCTCTGGCCCAAACGCTGCACCACCTCCTCTTCCTTCTCCTCCATTGCTCGGACGACGTCGCTTTCTTTTATGATGACAACGTCATCATCCTCGTGTAAAACTCGATCATCGTCGGAGGGGATCAGTTCAGTCAACCATC